TGCAAAGCGGAACAAAATTATAACACGACCGAAAAGGAATTACTAGCCATCGTGTGGGCGGTAAAACATTTCCGTCCCTACCTATATGGCATCAAATTCAAAATAATAACAGATCACAAGCCATTGATCTGGCTATTTAATGTAACCGACCCCGGTTTGAGATTAATCAGATGGAGACTCAAGCTGGAAGAGTACGATTACGAGATCGTTCACAAAACCGGAAAGAATAATAATGTGAACGCCGACGCGCTAAGCCGAAACCCGATACCGGAGGCATCAACGATAAATGCAACGCAGCAAAAAGATGACGCCCAGAGAGAATATTCGGAAGAGGAAAAACAGCAAATAATGTACGAATATCACGACTCACCTACAGGAGGACACCAAGGAGTCACGCGTACGTTGAACCAGATCCGGTTACAGCACAACTGGAGCGGTATAACGAGAGGTGTAGAAGCATACATAAACAAATGCGAGCACTGCCAGAAAAATAAATTAAGCCGAAAAACAAAAATGCCATTAATTATTACAGATACACCATTTGAGAAATGTGCGCTCGACATCGTAGGCCCACTGACTATTACAAATAGTGGAAATAAATATATCCTGACATTTCAAGATAACCTAACGAAATTCAGCAAGGCGATACCGGTAGAAAACCAGGAAGCAAATACAGTCGCCAAAGCTTTCGTTACAAAAGTAGTTTTGGAACACGGGATACCGGAGAAAATTCTCACGGGCTAAGGCACGAATTTCACAAGTGAAATGTTCAAGAATACGTGCAAACTACTAAAAATCGAAAAGATTCAGACGACAGCATACCCTCCGGAAAGTAACGGAGCGTTAGAAAGATCGCATCGTACTTTAGCGGAATACCTGACGCATTATATAAACGAAGATCAAACCGACTGGGACGAATGGATACCCTACGCGATGTTTACCTATAACACAACGCCTCCACACGACAACAGGATTCACGCCGTTTGAATTGGTCTATGGACATCGTGCTAACCTACCGACAGCATTGTCAAAGTCCCCAAAACTAACGTATTCATACGAGGATTACGCGCAGGAACTGCGAGAACGAATTCGCGCAACAAACCAAGTCGCAAGGGAACACACTAAGCAGGAAAAGGTAAAAGCGAAACAGCAATTCGATAAGAAAGTTAACGAAGAAACATTTAGAGTAGGCGACAAAGTACTACTATATGAGGAGACGGTACGACGCGGACGATCGAAAAAACTTGAGTCCCAATGGATCAGACCATATCTAATTATCGAGAAACACAGTGACGTGAACTATACGATTAAGATAAAACGGAAAACACTACGCGTCCACCCTAACTATTTGAAAGCCTTTATCGAGAATTAGAGATGCAGAGAGAGAAAGACATAGCTAGGAAAAATACCAAAAGCAGAACATAGTCCAAAAGTAGCAAAATAAAAAGACTTACGTTAATCTTCACGAGGAGCACCATGCCCCTGACCAGTCAGCAATAGAAAACGAAGCCGAGCGAGCATCAAAAACAGCATCATATTATCCGGTGCACGTCGACCTGGCTCAACCCAAAACTCTCGCATACCAGCGGTGTAACGGACGCGGCCCGTAATAAGGCCCGGATACTCTGACCTCTCGGGCACTACTAAGACCGGGGGGGTAGTTTCATCCTCCTCGTCAGCCCGACTCTCATTCGGGTCTACAGCGTCAGCCCGAACTGGCACATACTCAAGCGGGGGCATATTAAAAAAATTAAAACGTACGAAACTAACGACAAACTCGGACTGAAGCAATCCGTCAAACGATATAAAAGTAGCAACTCGCGAGAGACCGCGGTCAGCAAAAGATAGACTCCAAGAAAGCATTCCGATTACAGGATACCCATCATCGTGTTACACCTCGCAAGAGCGATGACATCCGAACCGATGCCACCGTACGAAGTAACATCATTTAACGATGAACCGGGACTTTATTTTGAGAAAATTGGAACCATGCAGGTAAAGGAAACCACATGGAAATTAGTCATCAGAATCGACGTCGCGGCATTTGAAATAAGATACCATCTACTTCAAAATTACATCGAACAGGTCAAAGGGCTACGCAACAACGTAGACGACGACAGCCGAGACGCATGTCACAACATTCTCCGCGTAACAGAAGACAATAATACAAAACTGACGCAACTGCTATTACGATTACAAACCGTATATAAGATAACGACGAGTCGACGCGGATTAATAGATGCGGTAGGCACAATAGGTAAAACCCTGTTTGGAACAATGGATGCCGACGACGCACGACGGATACAAGAACAGTTAGAAATAATAAATAATCAGCAAAAAACGATACAGCACGCGGCAAAGCACCAAATAAAAATTGTAAACGCCACGTTAGGACACATAGAGACCTTAGAGCAGACACTAAGCAAGAACGAAAACCTTATAGCAAACGTCACGAAACGAGTACAGCAACGACTAGCAAAATTAGTACGCCGCGAAGAATTAGACGAACACCTTCTAGTAATAAGCACAATAATAGCTAAATTAGTAAGCGACGTAGAAGACACGTTAGAATACCTGACCTATGCGAAACACGGCATAATTCTCGTGCGACTATTGCCACTTGAAACTTTAGTATCGGAATTAAGAGAAGCGACGACCCACCCTATCCTGAGGCGCGCATTTCCTCTTCAAAATACAAATAGATAATTGGTACACCATCGAAAAATTTGTAAAAATAAACGCCTATTATGACAACCCTAACGTCTACACGATCCTAACGTTCCCAATCATTACCTATCCCAACTATGAAATCGTGCGAGTAACCCCCCTGCCGGTGTACGACAATAAAAATATATTTATAATCCCAAAAACCTCTCACACTCTATTAGCTATAAACAAAGAAAATAGAAACTACCTAACACTAAAAGAAACTTGGATAAATGCACGCATGCCGACCGCACGCACCCTGCGAGGTGCAGATTTATATCCGAGCACAAAGAAATAATTGCGAGTGACGTCACATTCAATAGAATGTGACGTTCTGGATAACGTTAGCAGAACCGCAGGCATGGCTGTTTTCTACCCCATATAAACAACAGGTAACCATACAGTGTAAAGATCAGGCCGAAAATAAAATCGAAATAAATAGAACCGGGAAAATTAAGTTAAACGAAAATTGTAAACTGACGACGACAGACTTAACGCTATGCACGAAAAAACAAGAGTACATCAAGTACATACAAACGCATTTACCACAATTTAACTTGACTTTTAAAACAATAACACAAAATTTTGAAAATAATAAAAAATTAGGTACAGAACTACGGCTGGAACCGGTGATCAATGATCCCGCGGAACTAACTAAACTAAGCCTGAATCTCGAGGAAATAAGCAAGGAGCTAGAGGACAGCCAAGTCAGCTTCCTATCTAATAAAAATGTAATATATCCCGTGGGCTCCGTGTCCATAGTTGTAATCATAATAGGAATAGGAATTACTATAATATAGATAATAAAAAAAAAAAACGAAAAAGAACACGCGACACGACTTCCGCAAACAACTGGAAAAATAGAATAATGTAACTTTTATGGAAAAAGAAAACAACACAAATATTAACGAAAAACCTCATGCCTCAGTTTTTCTTTTTCCACGGGGGGAGGGATGTTGTAATGCGGAAGCCGAGTCGGCCTTGCGACACTGGGCGGTCAGCGCAAGAGTTCCGGCTATTGCCAAAGATATCTTAAGTGGCATTCCGGGCTTCACCAGGTCGCCGGGCAACTGACCTGAGCCCAGAAGCAAAAGCGCTGACAGCCGAGTCAGCAACGAGGAAGCGACACCGCTCGTTAAAAGGCCCGCCTTTCCGATAAGCGACAGTTACCACCGAGAGCACGTAGCGCGTTATTCTGTGTATCGTATCTTTAACCCGCAAGTCAGGGTTGTGTAAGAAGTGAATCGAGTGTAATCAGAACCAGCCGTTTATTAGGCGCCACTATTACAACCAATTTGGTCAGAGAGTGTTTCTTTCGCCTTCCTGCGGATCCGAACGAACCCGGTGACGGCCCTGAGCTCCCATTCAAGGCGCGGCACGACAGCTAGCAAAAGCAACTATCGAATCAGCACTGGTTTGGGATTGCATGTTGGCGTTAGAGAGACTAAGTGAACCTAATAAGGTCACCTTGGTATGAGTGCTTAAGCATGAAGAAATACCCGGCAACGAAACCGCAGATATACTGGCTAAGAAGGGAGCAAATGAAACACCATCTAACCAGGTGGCGGGAACACCCTTCACAGCAGGAAAATAAGTCATTAAAAGCTGTCTGAAAAGGGAGCACTTGATCAGGTGGGAAACTTTAAAAACCTGCCGCCAGGCCAGGATTCTGATAAAAAACAGCAGACCAGATAGAGCTAAAGAACTACTGGCGCTGAATAAACAAAAACTCAGAGTGACGGTAGGGCTGCTCACGGGCCACTCCGCCTTACTCAGAGCTCATTTATTCAATCTCAGACTCGCGGAACAAAAAGAGTGCCGCCTATGTCGGGACGAGAAAGAAAATAACGTGCATATACTGTGCCACTGTCCGGCACTTAAATGCAAAAGATACAAAACTTGGGGACGAACGTTTCCAGGACCTGAAAAGTGCTAGGGTGACAGACATGATAAATCTGGTACTAGGCTCAGGGCTGGCCCCAAACACCTAGCAAATAAAAGAGTGGGAAGGTACAAAGGATCAGTAAGATCTAGGTACTGTCGGGGACTCTAGTGGAACCACCCACTTTCTTACTGCTACTACTACTACTACTGCTACTACTGCTACTACTGCTACTACTGCTATACATTATTAATAATTTCTTATTACAAATCAATAATTTCAATAATATACTTTAGTAGTTTTTCTATTTATTTATTCATATTTATATATACAGTAAAATATGCATCTTATACAATAATAATTTTATTTAATGGCAAGATTATACTTTTTAAGCAAATATAATTATATTTACCATAATTATAATTGTTATAATAATTATAATTATCATAATAATTATCAGTAATAATTATTCATGATAATAGGTGGTGTCCAATTGTAACACTGTGGAAAGTGTAGTGGTATGTCTGGGAGATCATATTCTGTACCAACATGTAAAACAACATTCATTCCAGTTGCGGTGTGCCATGAAAAATGACAATGAAAGAACCACCAGCCTGCAAGAGATACATATTCTTAGTTCATATTTATTTGAAGAATAGCGGAAAGGAAATATGGTAATATGGAATCCCACTTCGTTTTTGAGCGATTTTTTGCAAATTATAAGCTTAATTTTTGTTAATCCTATATAGTATGCTTAAGGCCCCCGCACAATGAAAAATGTAAGGAACGAGGAACAGATATTAGCAACTAGAAATAAGAAATCAGGAATAAAGCCTATGTAGCATTAATACACGACTTCCGATAGGTTAAAAATCTATTATGCAACACGTGCATGGAAAGTGTTCCATTACGCACGCTACGCGTGCGTAATAGACCACTTTCCAGGCACTTGCAACATAAAATAGGAAGTGTAAGTTACCTCACTTGTTACACAAATAACTATTGCATGTCTTATTCCCTGTTTTTGTTGCCTGTATTTTTCATCGTGCATCCAACTTTATTCTTGATTCTTTAGTCCTAATCGCTAATATCTGTTTCTTGTTCCTTATATTTTTTATTGTGCGGAGGCCTTTAGGTTTCTTATTCTATTGGCAATCTATTTCAAATTTTCAATTTATAATTCTTTACTTACAAGGAAAGCTATATAAAGGTTATCGAAGAGTGAGCAGTTGAGTCATAGGGCATATGACTGGTAATATGGAGCCCACTATTTTTTAAGTGCGGGAAATTTAAAAAAAACTCATAAAACGTTGAATGTCTTTCAAAAAAGTAATTTATTTAAAACCAACTATTGTAAAAGAAATACATAATAAAAAATATATTGTTTTATCAAAAAATGTGATTATATAATAAAAAAATATTTAAAAGAGAAAATTCACTTTTTTCGTCTATCGACAAAAATCATATACGTATTCTTTTTTCTCTGTTCCTGCACATTTATTATTGTAAGCCCAGAGACTACATTGACCCACCTTGGGAATCCTTAATACAAACATTGCTATCTTGAAAAACAATAGCAACTACAGCAAAACGAAAAAGACTAAATATTCTTAAACAGGAAATGTTAGATAACATCATATATGTTGTGACGTTGCAGTTTTGCTGCATCGTTGCAGCGCCCCGCCGCGGCGCGCCGCCGTTACAAGGTTCAATGAGTCGATGCAAGATCTCCAGGGGCATTTTGTAATCGCGTTACGTTATTCTGATCCCTTTATTTTTCTATTTTGTATACTGTGCGGCGCCTCACCGAGGCGAGACGCCGATTTCCTACGAGGGAGTACAGGGGATGGAACCGACCAAGAGAATCAAGCCGAGGAGTAAATCGCCAGAGCGGATCGAAGCAAAACTCACGGGCCGCCGAGAGCGAAGGAGCACCGGAAGGCTCGCGCGCGACGCGTGATACAGCGGCGGACGGACCCGTAGCCAGCAAGGCCCCAGGTACCAGGGTAGAACAAAGCCACCTGCCATCCTCCACCGCAGACTGGACTCCGGGGTGGATGGCCACCATCCCCGGCCCGAGACGGAGGAGCACCGGAAAGACTAGCGTCCCGTCCGCTGCCGGAAAGGATTCCGGAAAATCGCCGCGCAAGCGAAGGGCCCATTAAACGCCCTGCGGGAGCCGTGATTGTCGGCCCTGCGCAAGGATACACCGCGAGCCTGCGAGCTCACCCCTAATTGGTCCGCGCTATAGCGCCGCGGGACTGCGTACGCCCGGGGTGGGGCGCGCTATCGATTCCGCCATCGAGCGAAAATTCGGGAGCACTCTTGGATCGTCCTCGATAGCGTTCGCGTCTTCCCGTCACGATATCTTGAGTTACGATGATTCCTGGCGACTATCTGCTGACCCGAAGACCACCGTGAGCGTTCGTCGCGTTTGGACGTACGGCTCTCATCTGCTCATGACAAGCGGTGGCCTTTTTTTTTTCTTCCTGTGATGGATCTTGCTTGACTCCATTCTGTTGGAGCTAATCTTCGGAGCGGCTGCTTTATTGCCTAAAGCACCGGCTTTTCTGGAGCGGCCCTGTAATTCTGGAATAGCCGGAATTGTGCCTTTTTGGAGTAATCTCTGGAGGACTGGAGTAACTGTCACGGTGCTCACAGAGAATATCGGCGGATTATTTCTGAGCGCTCGTGGATAGATTCTACACGGAATGCCGACTACCTGATATACGATTATTCTCCCGAGGGGGTGAGTCATAAAGCAAAGTATCAATCAGACGGTCTAATATTATTACTGTCCTTTTGTTTAATGATTTTTTTTTCGTTTCTTTCTTTTGCACACGTCTTGAGTTACAGTTGAATTATTCAACATTGATAAATTATATAATATTTATAAAAGTTCATTTGCGTTTTCTTAAACAATTCTCGCAGTGTTAGTCCTATCGTAATGTGCTTATTTTGCGGTATATATAGATAGTTAATTTACAATTATTCAGCGTATTCTTTATTTTTTAGTTTTAAGTGCGTATCGCTGCATTCTAACGGTATTTCCTATTTGGGTCCCTTCGACCTTATTTACGCATTATTATATTTACTTCTATTATTCTCTCACTGCGACGAGAATTCTCTTATTTACTTCCGAATGGTATTTTGCTATTAATCAGAAGAACTGATATATTACTGTCCTCTTGTTGAATGATTTCTTCGTTTATTTCTTTTACACGCGCCTTGAGTTACAGTTGAATTACTCAACACTGATAAATTTTATACTTATAAAAGTTTATTTGCGTTTTCATAAATAATACCCGCAGTGTTAGTCCTATCATAACGTACTTATTTTGCGACATATGTTAATAGTTAAATTACAATTATTCAGCGTTTCCTTTATTATTTTGGTATTAAGTGCGAATCGCCGCATTCCAACGGCGCTTTCTATTTCTGTTTACGCCCCGTCGACTTTATTTACACATTATTATATACTTTGTATTATCCCTTCTTTTGCGACGGGAATACTTTACATTTTACGTTTAAAGCTTTTGGTTTAAGATCCATCACAATTTATCATATGGTAGCTTGAGATCCCTCCCGCGTATTTGCTGGCTTGTTGCTGTATTTACTTTGTGCTGTCTCTCTCGACGAGTTCGTTCGGGTGTTTTTGCTCACATTTCCTGACTTGTATGTCAATAATAGAATGCCGAAGAATTCGAGCCGCAAATCGCCCAAGGACGGAAACGATCCTAAACGTCGCCGTAACGATACAGAGAATGTGAAAGATCCCTCTATGGATTTGAATAAATCTCTCCCTCGTGAGAGTCAACCTACCGGTAGAAAGAAATTTGTGCTTTCACAATTAAATAATAGATACTCGAAGTCAATCATCGCGCCTTATCCGGTACATATAGAGTCTCTCTCGACCTCTCTGAATATAGGTAATTTACATCCTATGAACATTATAGGCAAAGTATTATTCGCAAAGTATAGCAGCGTTGTTTCGATTCGAAGATTAGGTCGGAACTTAATATGCGTTTATTTTTCCTCGTACGTAGAGGCGAAAGAATTTTTATCTAGTAAAAATACTCTTTCGCCCGGACTACTAACTTCCGCTCCGAATTACAAGATCTTCCGAGTTGGGGTGATTAGGGATGTAGACCCCTCTCTTTCCATTGATGAATTACGAGAATGTATTTTGTGGCCAGGTGTCCCGATTGAGATCTGCTCTTTGGAGAGACTCAGATTCCGCGATGGATCCAGTAATGAATTGAAGGGTTCAACTTCTGTTAAAGTGGTTTTTTCGTCAAACCTTCTGCCTTCCTACATATGTATGGAAGATCAAATGTAAGATATTCCCATATATTAATAAAGTTCGTAGATGCACAAATTGTTTTAGATGAGGACATTCCACCCTTTCATGCAGAAGTAATAAGTCATGTGATAAATGTTACCTTGAACATCCTTCTGGAGTCTGTAACTCGGATCCTAAGTGCGTAAATTGCAGTGGAGGTCATATCTCCACAGATTTTTCTTGCCCGGTTTTTACCGAACACAAGATAATTAATACTGTGATGTCATATACAAATTCCTCTTACGCCCAGGCGAAGAGAATTATCAGGTCTAGAGGTATCAATTCCTGTCAACAAGCGGTGAATCTGCTCAGGGGTCAGGCCTATATGATTTGGAGTGGTTTCGACTTCGGAAGGGCCCAGAGTGAAAGTTCTGGTATTAGTAAATGCTCCAAGAGAGCGGATAGTGTGGTCTCAAGTGTTTCTCACTCTCCGTTGAACGATACTATACGTCCTTCCACTGCGGAATTGAACCTTGAAGGAGATTTGTCTCCCATTGAACCTAATTTAGTTGAATCTAATCTCGAGTTCTTATCAAACACATTCCCCTGATATTATATTACATGACCTACGTTTTCTTTATAACTCAGGCAAGTTAGATAAATACAAAGCTGCGGCTTTGCTAAAATATCTCGGTTTAATCTTTAGTAAAATTAAATAATCACATTTAATCAGGCCTCGGAAAATTTTTACAATGGAACTGTAGGAGTTGTGTCCTTATGACGTTATGTAATGCTAAATCTTTTAACTATTGTAAACTTTGCCCCGTGCGGATTTATAAAAAAATAAATAAATAAATAAACCGAATCATGCTTTGAATAGCAATAATCACATTGGATTTACTTAGTGCTCTGCTCTATTGGTCCGGGTAACTTTTATATGGAGAATTCTTACGAGACAGGAATTGATATATATTACTTAGCTAAATTTAATTTCGATAGTTATTGACTAGATATTATTTCCCGAATTATTGTCGGATATGCTTTTCCTAATGTTATTAAACTTATTTTTGGGTTATGCGAATTTTGGTCAGGCGAGCTATACTGCAAAGAAAGAAATGAAGTTATCATAAATTATTCAAACGTAAACTTTTGGCACCCTTTTCTGCCGTATATTTATTTATCAACCTTAACAAGAATATCGTAAATGTTATTATAAATTTTGAGTGATTGTAAGTGATTGATATGGAGCTTGGCTCTCTTCTTTATCGACACGTGGAGAAGGAGTAAAGGATGAAATACGCAAGAGGGCGACTATTCCCCCGGATAGTCCCCCAGTTTTCTTGTTATAAAGCTGTGGAACCGAAAATCCATTCGGGGCAGAAAGAAGAAGAAGAAGAAGAATCTGCTGACCCTTGGGACGACGGTGAGAATCCTCGGGAGGGAGCTGACCTACGGTGAGGTTGCCTCAAGTAATTTTGCGTACTTGTAAAGCCACGACACCGCTCTCCGGGGCGCGCTCTCGCTCGGTAGTAATCGCGATAATTAGCGTTATTCGCCGATATATAAGGCGTTGATTTGGCGATCGACAGCGAAAGCGAGGGGCACCGGAATGATCTCGTGGTCGTGGGATCGCGACCGAAATTCGCAAGCTCCTGGAGATCGTGATGGGCGCGTTAATGACGACTTTCGATATCGTGAATATGCCGTTTCTCGCGACCTTCGTGTTCGCGACCGCGTGTTTCGCGGTGCGTCGTAATTCGCCCGGTCGGGGTTTAGATTCCACGCGCTATATTAATTGCGTAAGAATGTTCTTTGCGTTGGTTTAATTGCGTGAGAGTGTTATTCGCGTCGGTTGAAGAATGTTATTCGCGTTGGTTGAAGAATGTTATTCGCGTGGTTGGATTATGAGAGAATGCGATTCGCGTCAGAATGATTGCGTTCAGATAGTGCTTGCGTTAGGATATTATTCAAGTTAAAATATTATTCGTGTTCGGTTACTTTTCGCGTTAGAATAGTTGCATTTAGATATTACTCGCGGTAACTCCATATTTTCGCGTCCGCTATAGTATCTTCGCACTAGTTCTAGTATTCCGTGGGTCATGCCGAATGTTTCGACAAGTCCTTGTTGCGTTCGGTCCTAATTACTCGCGTTAGATTAAGAATTTGGCGACAGAATCCCTGTACGGCTTGGGATCTTGCGTTCACGCGCTCCGAGCGTGACGCGCTATCATTTCGCGGCATTTTACGCTATTATTTCGCGTTTACTCCAGTTATGTCGTATTTGGTCGTAACTTGCGCCGATATTTTACATTATTCGTCAGTTTAATACTCTATTATTATCTCTGTGATATTATCTGTGTAATATTACTATCTGTGTGATTTCTATGATTTCGAAGACTTTGTAAGTTTAGTTTTCTACTAGTATTATTTTCTCGATAACGGCGCTTTCCGCGCGTTTACAAAATTATGTAATTCTCCGTGTTTTTCTGGCGTCCGCGTTACTATCATTTTGTGGTTTAGAAATTGACGCCCGCGTTATCAACCGCGCTATTATTTTTCTTATTAATGAAAGCCAGGATGGCCCTTGTTTTATTAAACAATAAATGTTACTTTATTTGTTAGCAATTGAGTTCATGATTTACGTGTCACTCCGCCGAGTATCGCGCTGCTCTTCATCAACCTCGCCCTGCTATTAGGTCGAGCTAGCCATTCCCTCGCACACCAACTTATTTCGTTTTGCGTTTCCTTTTGGTTTATCGCGGTTTTGCGGACGCGAATTTACGCGTCTAGCGCCCAACAATAAAATTCGGTTCGTTCGTGTAACGTCGGAGGTGCGAGAGAATCATTGGAGAGGTCTATCATCCTTCTCTCCTTTTCTTTTTTGATCCGTCACACGCCCCGGACCGCTCCGGGAGTGAAAAAGTTGTGACAATGCATGTTAAGTGTCTGGCCCTAAAAGTTATCTGTTAATTATGGACAGTTACAAATAAACAAAGTTTTATATATTCTTCAAAGGTTTGAAAATCGACAAAATAGAAATATGTTAATTAATCTACTGCCATTAAAAAATTAATAAACTTAGCGCTTTAACGTCTAAAGAGTAACTTAAGGGGGAATACCCAATTAGAAGCGCAAAAAAAGGCAATTTTTGTGAATTTTTTTAAGGAAACCTATATGAATTATGGTATTGATATTTTTTCTACATAAAAGTGTTAAAGAATATGTTAAATTTTTTTTATTAAAAAATATTCAATATTGGCGGAGTATTCATGGGTTCTGTCGACTGCCGCAAAAAAAAGGTCCTCCGCGGTGACCACTCCCATTTCATTTGTAATCATCAGAATAAAAAAAACCAAAAAGATTATTAAAATTGACACTATAATTTAGTCTTTGTCGTAGGGGTTTTTGAAAATATTGATTTTTGACAAAATGGTGGGCGTTTGAATTTAAGGGTTTGATTTTTAGGGAAAAATTCGGGTTTATTTTGCCGATAAAAAAAACTAAGTCACTTAAAAAAAAATTTTACGACAAAGACTAGATAATTATGTATAGAATAACCTCTATAAATTTTAAATTGATCGGTTCAGTGGTTGCCGAGATATAATTGGTAACCGATTTTTAATATGGTTTCGAGAAAAACGCGTTTGAAAATTGAACAATAAATAAATCGCGAAAATTTTTCAACTTACATAGAATCATCAATTCCAGGTCCATAATATAAGTCCTCCACCTTGCTTGGAATGCAAAAATTGAACAATCAATTTTTTTGAATTTTCTAATTGGGTATTCTCTCTTAATAAACAAGTTCTAGCTGTTACCTTTAAAGCACAGCTAACAGTGTTCTTAAAATATTGAGGGGTTCCATATTATCAGCAGAATTCCATATTACCACTTTCTGCTCTGCATATATTAGATATTAATATATTAGATATTAATATATCAGATATTAATGTATCAGATGTTAATATATTAGATATTAATACATTAAATATTAATAAAAGATAGTTCCAATTTAAAATTACTTTTGTGACGACGAAGTTGTCGGTCTGTATGTTATTGCTGTACGAAAGAACAATTTACGAGTATCTAGTATACGGCGGGCACAATGTCTGCGCCGAGTTAGCGTAGAGTTTATTTTTTTGTCAGGCAAAATATCGTCTTTGTCAAAATTTCTTAAATTATTCAAGACATTATTATTTAGACATTATTTATTTAAATTTTATATTTAATAAAATAATTTATTTGAATATATTCTTTACTGATGGAAATTAATTTTATAACTAATAAAAACAAAAATCAAATCGTACAGGATCAGTCTTGCAAACGGTAACGAAAGTAATTATTCGTCACAAAAGGCTTAATACAATAGTAGCGGAATGTGTATTTACGTTTTGTCTACGCAAAATTTATTTGTAAAAATTATAATTTGGTATGTTTGATTAATAATAATAAATATTTGTGTATAAATGTAATAAATTATTAACCTGGGTTATCTGCTTTAAAGCGTATGATGACAAAACCAGTATTTGGCACGATCATAGTATCTTTAGGAGCGCAATTTTGATAATAACCACTTTGCAACCGATTCTTGTGAGCAATTATTTCTCTGGCTACATCCTCATCTGTTATATCGTCTTTATTACGTGCATTGATAAATTGACCAGCATACATTACGCAGAAACTATAACCATGCAGATGAAAAGGGTGATTCATGTCTGTAAGAGGATCTGTAACATTATAACATTTTATTTTCTAATTAATAACAATTTGTTATGTATACATTGTAATGTGTTAAATTCTTCACTTATGTTAGTCAATTTTCTCGAATTATGCACTAAAATTATGTACGCGTACATATGCAATATAAAATACTAGGAATTACTACTTTGAATATCTCTAGAAAAACGCACTAAATTTTAATTAATTAAAATTGATTTGGTTACAAAAAAACAACATTTGAAAAACATAAAGTGCTAATTTTCAGTCTTCAAGTTTTAGAAAGTGATTTATAAAATCATGCACTTATATGGCAAAAAAAAACTGACAAGGCAATCTCGTGAAAATTCTAATTTTTATAAAACTTTACACATATGTAAAGAAAAGAGTAAATAGATGACTTTAGAAATTTTTAGTTTTAGCTTAGAAAATTTTAGCGTCTCGAGAACAGTTCTAAGGAGGAGTGAAACTACCTCTCATATAGAATGTCTTTTTGCTTTTCTTGATATATCTCAAAAAGCATTCAAGATATCAAAAAATGTTTATACAAAAGTTTCACGGTAAGAACCTCTATCCATATTAATATATTTAAAAAATATTTGAAAAAAATGTGTGCACACACACATACACAGAGAAAAAGATTTCTTTATGTTTCTTTTTGATTCTTAATTGGTTTTTAACTTTTATTCGATTCAGTAAATAAAATTTTTTCTTTGTGTTCGGGTTGCGCCTTTAGGCGTTCTGATTATTAAGGTTATCAAGAGACACGGTAGTGTCTCGCGCCAAGTACGCGCGGAGTGAGACGCACCGTGACTCATTTACGCAAACGCACGAGTTGTGAGAACCCGAGATCTTGAGATCTCAATAACCAGTGAACGGATCAAGTTCTAAGTAGGCTTGATCGATAGCATGGGGTCGATTTATATAATAAAATTGTTTATTTTTCCCTCATGTGCCCTATAAGCACAGGTATTACAATGCAAAGTCTAAAATGTTAAATTTTACAATTAAGAAACGTCCACGTTCTCCGTTTGCTATTTTTGCCACGGCGCTAGTAGTGTATCTTTTTCACTTTTTTGACATTAGCGGTGCTAGTATCGTCACCAGTTTCGAGCGTGGTCTCGACGATTATCACAACGAGCTGTCACGAGTCGAAGTGAGGTTAACGGTAGTGTCTCGCAAGTACACGCGAAGATATATCGTACTCGTACAACATTCAAGATTGTTACAAAATGCAAGAGATTTTAAGAAGTTTAAGAAATGTAAGTACAACAATAAGTACATTAACAACAATAATTTTAAACATCTTTTATATTATCTTAGCGGGTTTATACACATACGTGTTTAGCTCGCAAGTCCGGCTCGGCTCGGCTTCTACTTGTTCATGGATGGGATGTCACGAGACGGGCTCGGCGTCAGATGAGCCAAATTCACACATTTTCCTTTCATGGGTGGTGAAAAAACGTCAAGTCCGGCTCGCGAATTAAGTTCGCTGAGCCAGACTTGCGAGCCAAACACGTACGTGTATAGACCCCGTTACAAAGTCCGAGATTTAAATACGGCCCGTATAAACACACGGGCCTTATTTAAATACGGAGCGTCCCCCCGGGTTCCTTCCATGATAATGTTGCTACACTGAAAAGAAACAACATATACGCGTAAGTGTGCGCTCGTCGCTCAGTGCGTTTATGCGGACAGCGCGCTGTCAGTCAGTTATAACCTAGAAATACATATCGCGTTCGCGCGTAACACCGTGATCTCTCATCGTTAAATACTACTAACAATAAGTACGATTGTTTAAATCCAAATTTCGGTTGCGCCACGCAAGGATTGAAGTGCCACGAAATTAGGATGTGGGTGTCACAAGAGGCAAAATATCAGCGGGTCGGAGATATATAGTGATAGTCGTGACCGTTTATTATGTTTACGCGAGCGTTACTTCTGTAGTAACTTACAATAATTCACTCGTTTACGTGGAGGAATTATCGTATAAGTTACTACAAAAGTAACGCTCGCATAAACGTAGTACGTGACAGATTGTGTGTGTGTATGTATGTATGTGTGATCATCAATATATCATATAATATGTATTATATATTAGAAGGTGCATCCAAAATCACATTCATATGCATTTGCTGTCTTGTAAAAGTTGAAGAGAACGAGAAAGTAATCTGTAGCGTAATTCGTATTGTAGGCAAGTTGAAATATTAATTGAATCGAGTAAAACTCGTGTGTTCTGAAACTTATACTTTACGTGTGTGAGTTGGTGACAAATGAGTACATTTTGTTCTGTATTGATTGTCAGTTGCATGCTTGAAAAGGGCCCGATCCAAGGGTTGAAACGTCGCAGCGTTTTGTATACATTGCCAATCATTAGTCGATAACAATAAATGTTTCGTGTCGAGTCCATTATATTTATTTCGATTAGTAAATATTAGGTTTATTTGATGTCTCGTCTTTGCTTTCATATTTGTGTTTTGCGGTCTTGTTCGCGGCGCTGTTGGTATGTAGCGTGTGATGGCGTGTGATGAGTGGTGGCGAGTGTGTGCATTGGCGCGAAGCGCGGTAAAAGTCAATACTAAAAAAGCGCCAGTATCGTACGCAAGCAAGCAAGCAAGCTTTATATCACAAAATAAAACGATCTACTGTGTACAAAGAATCATCACAAAAGTTACCCTACTATTCCAGTCCCAAGAAAACCACAGTAAACTACGAAAATATTAATGGTCCTTCGAGCCGGATCCCAGACGTAGAACTGAGAATGAAAAGCACAGCCGGTTAAGTCCGACGTGTTTAACGGATACAGGCGAGAATAAAGGGACGAGAAACAAAGGATTTTTACGAAGCCGTAGGAGTCTATCTACGCTAACCGAAAGAAATCAGCAGCAATTAGCGAATGTCGCTGAGATTAACGAAGCGAACGAGTTCATGCAAAGACGAGGACGAGCCCATTATCAACGACGAGGACAAGTTTACAACGAGCACGAGTCCATTCTTCAAAGACGCAGACGAAGGCATCCATCATTTCAACGAAGTGGACGAAGCCATTACTATATAGGAAGAGTCCATCGTGCACAACTGCACGAACGCAGGCCTACCACAGTGGGAAAGGAGGTTATGTGTGACACAAGTCACACGATTATATCAGAATGGCGCAAAACGTTGATTTAATGAAAATTTATAAGCAAAGAAAAAGGATAGCAAAGCCTGGTTTCACGCGAGTAGAAAATTTCTTAAAGGGAATAGAGCTCGACGAAGTTGAAGTCGAAGAAGTAAGATTGCGATTAAATAAATTAGAAGATTTGTGGAAATCATTAGAAGAGAGTTTAACGGAATTAGTAATTTACGACGATGAAGTAACAGATGAGCAAGTTGGTCAAGAACTAATCAGTCACAAAAAAAAATACATTAATTTGAAGTTGTTAGGAGAAAGAATAATTAGTCAACGCGTTAGACCAGCTCCTGCTGCTAATAGGGTTCGAAGGTAACACTTTTGACGGGTGCAGAGTATTCAAAGACGAACAATTACTTGCGTAGAAACGTATATATCTTTATTTCACGCTTAACGTGCGTTAATGGTGGAGAGTGAACAGAGATCGACTCGCGCGCGGGAATTAACGATATCACAACAACAACGCCACGAATAACCACGCTACTACTACAACGCCACCACTCACATATGTACGCGCCAACTTCAAGATTATATTACTAATCGACACTTTCTTTTCACACTTTCCTTTGTTGGTCTGTAATAATAATCTGCCAAAAGTCTACAAAATGTATAATAAAAATGTAGCGCGAATATTCACAAGTTTGTATATATTTGAAGTTCGCAGGCAATAACTAAACTTCAAACAAAAGACATGGAATAATATAATTATTATCAATCGGCTCGAATATATTTAACAACTAAACTATATGCTCTCAAATCGCGTAAATAAACATAAAATTTGTACCTGGTTAACATTTCTCAATACAAAAAATCAATTCTAGAATTGCACGCTGTTCAGTCCTTAACTGCTTAGCTAACAACTTAGTCTTTGGTCCATTTAAAGGTTTTGTTAATGTATCCGCTACGTTATCGCTTGACTTAACATACTTTAAATCAATTTCTCTTCTCTTAACTAGTTCTCTTACAACATGATGCCTAACATCAATGTGTTTAGAACGCTTTGAAGTTCACTTATTTTTGGCTAATGACATAGCCCCTTGATTATCTATGTTTACACTACATGGCTGTCCTATAAATTCATCTAGTCCCAGTTCAGTTAAAATTCCTTTTACCCATAAAACTTCTTTTAAACCGTCTGCTAAACTTATATACTCAGCCTCTACCGTTAAAAGCGCTACACTTCCCTGCTTCCTAGATACCCACATAACTACTCCTCCTGCTAAGTTTATTACTAGGTCGCTGTATGACTTTCTTCCTTTAGCGTCTCCTGCCCGATCAAAATCGACGTATACCTCGATTGGCTTCCCCTGCTTTTTATATGTGAGACAGTAATCTTCCGTGTTTTGTAAATATCTAAGGATATGTTGTACTCCTTTCCAATTAGTAATCGTTGGGTTATTGTTATGCTGACACTGTCTGCTTACTGGATGTGACAGGTCCGGTCTGGTGTTATTCGCCAAGTATAACAAACTGCCTGTTGCTCATCAATAGATTTTTTCTGGAAAAGGCGTCTTACAACTTGATTCATTAACTTCGGGCTTGATTTCCAATGGCGTTGATAGTCCGCGACATTGATTCATTCTAAATTTTTGCAGTAAGTTAACTGAGAAGTTTCTTTGATCCAGCGTCACGGTATCATCTTCTGGCCTGTTAACTCTTAGTGACAGTAAATGAAATATCTTACCAAGTGATTTTATACTTATTTTTTTCTCCAAATGTTTTTTAGTGCATTAATTTTTTCTTGCTTACCCCATACTAAAATGTCGTCAACATAAGTTCCTACTACCAAATCTCCTTCCGGGTCGTAGTAAATGCATGGGTCACTTACCGATTGCACCAAGC